TCAACTCCCTCACACCCGAGCGCTTCAAGTAGGGGCCTGGCCTCCTGTCCCTCCTGTCCCCTCCTGTCCCCTCTGTCCCCTGCTCTGTCCCCTCCTGGCACCCCCTGTCCCCTCCTGTCCCCTCCTAGCACCCCCTGTCCCCTCTGTCCCCTCCTGGCTCCTCTGTCCCCTCCTGGCACCCCCTGTCCCCTCTGTCCCCTCCTGTCCCCTCTCTCCTCTCCTCTCCTGTCCCCCCTGTCCCCATCCTGTCCCCTCCTGTCCCCTGTGTCCCTTCTGTCCCCTCCTCTGTCCCCTTCTATCCCCTCCTGTGTCCCTCCTGTACCCTCCTGTCCCCTCTTTCCCCTCCTGGCCCCTTCTCTGTCCCCTCCTATCCCCTCCTGTGTCCCTCCTGTCTCCTCCTGTCCCCTCCTCTCCCCTGTGTCCCTCCTGGCCCCTCCTGGCACCTTCCATTCCTCCTGCCCCCCGCTACCCCCCCATGTCCCCTCTGTCCCCTCTTTCCTCTCCTGTCCCCTCATTCCCCCCTTGTCCCCCCTGTTCCCCATGTCCCTACCTCCCACCACATCCACCCCCACATCCCCACCTCAGCCACCCCCAGCCCTGTCTCCTCAAGGTCTGTCCCTCAATGTCCCCACGTGTCCCCCTGTCCCCACATCCCAGGGTCTGTCCCACACTGTCCCCACATGTCCCACTGTCCCCCCCTTCCTTCCCCAGCAACCTGGAAGGGTTCCTGGAGGAGTTTGCTGACATCTCCAAGGAGGACCAGATCAAGAAGCTCCATGACCTGCTGGGGCCGCACATGCTGCGGCGCCTCAAGGCCGACGTCTTCAAGAACATGCCGGCCAAGACTGAGCTCATTGTCAGGGTGGAGCTCAGCCCCATGCAGAAGTAAGCCCCCCCCGGACGCCTGGGTCCTCCCCTGGATGCCTGGGTCCTCCCCAGGACGCCTGGATCCCTTAGGGTGGGGTGGGCATGGACACAAGTCCTTGGGAGTTGGCATTGGTGGAGCTCGGTGGTGGCACTCCATGCAGACCTGTGGAGTTGCTTGGGTTCCTGGACACCTGGGTCCCATGGAAGGGGGGAAGGGAGGTTCCCAGATGGCTGGGGCCCCCCCCCCGGACACCTGGGTCCCCCTTCCCTCCCTCAGGAAATACTACAAGTACATCCTGACCCGCAACTTCGAGGCGCTGAACTCGCGGGGCGGCGGGAACCAAGTGTCGCTGCTCAACATCATGATGGACCTGAAGAAGTGCTGCAACCACCCCTACCTCTTCCCTGTGGCTGCCAGGCTGGGGACACGGGGGGGACCTGGGGACAAGGAGGGGCTGGAGGGACCTAGGGGAGACACAGGGACAGGGAGGGGGTGGAGGGACCTGGAGGGGACAGAGGGATGTGGGGTTTGGGGACCTGGAAGTGTGGTGGGACGTGGTGGGATGTGGGGACATGGAGGGGCTGGAGGGACATGGGGGGGATGGAGGGACATGGTGGGGACAGGGGGACATGGGACATGGGGACATGGAGGGGACATGGGGACAGGAAGAGGTTGGAGGGACCTGAAGGGGACAGAGGGATGTGGGGTGGGGGAACCTGGAAGTGTGGTGGGATGTGGTGGGACGTGGGGACATGAAGGGGCTGGAGGGACATGGTGGGGACAGGGGGACATGGGACATGGGGACATGGAGGGGACATGGGGTCAGGGAGAGGTTGGAGGGACCCAGAGGGGACAGAGGGATGTGGGGTGGGGGGACCTGGAAGTGTGGTGGGACGTGGTGAGATGTGGGGACATGGAGGGAGACATGGGGGGGTGTGGGGACAGGGGGACATGGGGACAGGGAGGGGTTGGAGGGACGTGGTGAACATGTTGGGGACAGGAGGGACAGAGAGACATGGGGACAGGGAACCTGGTGGGGATGGGGACTTGGGGATTTTGTCAGTTAGAGGGGGTGGTGACATGGGGGACTGGTGACAAGAAGGGGGTGCCACCCCTGTCCCCAGGAGTCCCCCAAGCTGCCGAGCGGCGCCTACGAGGGGGGGGCCCTGATCAAGGCCTCGGGGAAGTTGCTGCTGCTCCAGAAGATGCTGAGGAAGCTGAAGGAGCAAAACCACCGGGTGCTCATCTTCTCCCAGGTGGGACCCCCCTGGGACCCCCTCAGGGCACCCACAACCCCCCCAGGAGCCCCCCAGGGCGCCCACAACCCTCAAAACCCACCCAGCACCCAGGAACCCCCCCCACCCAGCTCTGCCTGGCTGCTCCCAGTCTGACCAGTCCCAGGTGCCCCCAGCCCTGCTGGCCTCTCCCAGTCTGACCAGTGCTGAGTGCCCCCAGCCCACCAGTCTCTCCCAGTATAACCAGTATGGGGTGCTCCCAGTCTGACCAGTCCCAGGTGCCCCCAGCCCCCTGGCTGCTCCCAGTCTAACCAGTCCTAGGTGCCCCCAGCCCCCTGACTGCTCCCAGTATAACCAGAATGAGGTGCTCCCAGTCTAGTCTGACCAAGGTGCCCCCAGCCCCCTGACTGCTCCCAGTCTAACCAGTTCCAGGTGCCTCCAACCCAGCTGGCCTGTCCCTGTCTGACAAGTCCCAGGTGCCCCCAGCCCCGCTGGCCTCTCCCAGTATAACCAATACAGGGTGCTCCCAGTCTGACCGGTCCTAGGTGCTCCAAGCCTACTGGTCTCTCCCAGTATAACCAGTATGGGGTGCTCCCAGTCTGACCAGTCCTGACTGCTCCCAGTCTGACCAGTCCCAGCTGCCCTCAGCCCACCAACCTCTCCCAGTATAACCAGTACGGGGTGCTCCTAGTCTGACCAGTGCCAGGCACCCCCCAACCCCCTCCCAGTCGCTCCCAGTCTAACCAGTGCCAACAGATGACCAAGATGCTGGACCTGCTGGAGGATTTCCTGGACTAACTAGGAGGGCTACAAGTACGAGCGGATCGATGGGGGCATCACGGGCGCCCTGCGCCAAGAGGCCATCGACCGCTTCAACGGTACCTGCAGCGGGGGACCCGGGCGTCCGGGGGGGACCCAGGCATCCGGGGGGAAACAAGGCATCCGGGGGGGAACCAGGAGTTCAGAATGGGATCCAGGCGTCCGGGGGGACCCGGGAGTTTGTGGAGAATGAGGTGTCCAGGGGGGACCCAGGAGTTCAGAGGGTGGACCCAGGTGTCCGGGGTGGACCCAGGTATCCGGGGGGACACTTGGGGGTGTTCCCATGTTGGGCTGCATCCCCTGACTCTGTGTGGGCAGCACCAGCAACTTGGGGAGTCCCGTGTTTGGGGGAGGTCCCGTTTTGAGGAGGGTTTCCCAGGCTTTGGGGGTGGAGTTTCCAGGTTTGGGGGGAGGGTTCCCAGGTGTGGGGGTGTTCCCGTGCTGGGCTGCACCCCCTGACTCTGGGGGGGCAGCGCCCGGGGCGCCGCAGG